AGAGCCCTGGAACCCCCAAGAGCCCTGGGACCCTCCCCAGAGCCCCCGAAACACCCCAGAGCCCTGGGACCTCCCAAAGCTCTATAACCCCCCCACAACCCCAGAGCCTCAGGAACCCTTCCCAAATTCCCAGGGAACCCTTGGGAGCCCCAGGACGTCCCCAGAGCGCCTGGATTCCCTTCCAAATCCCTGAGGACCCCCCAGAACCATGGGACCTCCTCCGTGCAGAACCCTGGGATGCTCCTGGAGCCCCTGGTCACCTGGGGCTGATGCGCTTGGCCACCACGATGATGTCACCCAGGCTGGCTGGGGACTTCACACGGGCACCTGAGCCCATGGTCATGGCCACCAGCTTCTCCGTCAGCGTGTGGCAGATCTGAGGGGAGAGACAGGGCTCTTGGTGCCACCAGTGCCAACCATCATTGGCACCAGTGTCACCACAACCACCAGTTCCACCCACCATTGCTACCAGTGTCACCCTGACTCACCTTCAGGATGGCAATGCAGTGGGACACCAGACCCCTGTGGAGAGGGAGGAGGGAGTGAATCCAGGTGTGTCCCACCACCACATCATCGTCCCCCGTGTCCCACCAGCCCACACTCTGTGTCCCCCAGATCCCTGGGGACATTCCCACATGAAGACCGTCCCCATGGCTTGGTGACCCTCAAATCTGCCACCTGCATGCCATGATGAGGGGTTGACACTGCACAGGGGTCCTCAGCACTGGGGGGACACACACTCACGAGGCATCCTCGACCCAGTCCTCGTTCTCCAGGATGGCCTCGATGTGGGGGTTAGTGATGACCACGTCGTCCAGCTCCAGCTCTGAGGGCTCTGATGGTGTCTCCGTGGTCCCCATCAGGTCCACGATGGGCCTGTTGGGGACATGGGGAGGGGACATGGCCCCATGGGTCTGATGATGCTGGACATGCCACCAACTGCATCGCTGATGGTGGTGGACATGACACCCAGATCGTCCCACTGATGATGGTGGACACGTCCTGCACATTGTTCCCCTGACGATGCTGGACATGTCCCCACCTTTGTCCCACTGATGATGGTGGACGTGTCCTCATCTTTGTCCCCTGATGACGCTGGACATGTTTACAACTTCAGCCCCTGACGACGATGGATGTGTCCACCACATCATACCCCTGATGATGCTGAACACACCTCCAGCATCATCCCCTTGATGACCACGGACACGCTCCCCACATTGTCCCTCTGATGATGCTGAACACGTTCCCAGCACTGTCCCCAGCCCGTGGGGGTCCCTCCCCACCGCTGCCAGCACCGTGGGGTCACTCACTTGGTGTCATAGTGGTGCCTGAGGTCCTTGGGGTGGCAGTACCTCTGCCTGCACACCACCACCAGCGCCACGAAGGACGCCAGGAAGATGGTGGCCAACACCCCGATTTTTTTCTCCATGGCTGGTCCCTGCCAGTGGGGCTGGGGGGCTCAGGCGTCCGGAGCCATCGCAGCACGGTGGGGTCTGCAGGGACAGGGGGACCGGGGGGGTTGGAACCTCCTCTCCCTCCCTGCACCCCAGAACACCAGGCCGTAACCCAGTGTCACCCCCAGGTGGATCCCTGTCCCAGGGTTCTGTCCAGAGGCAGTGTCACCTGGCAGGGCTGGGG